CTATCAAGTTATTTGAGAGATGCAACTGGATGCCCACCTTAAAAAAAATATCCACTTTTTCTCATAATTTTTACAAAAACATGCAACAAGGCTTCAGAATAATTGCGATGATGTAGGAATATGAGACATGCATTGGAGCTTAGTGGAAGCTTGGAAGTCTTCATTTGATGCCACATTGCAGCATCTCCGTCATATTGTTGAGTCATGGACACTGACCTTCACTGTGATGAGCGAGGCCTGCTGTGTGTTAGATGGTATTTTGGGCTCTCTGGCCTCCTGAACAGCATTTTATTTTAGGAGAACTTTTGGCAGGTCTCTTACCCCATGACTGTACTGTTGCATACTAGAGTCACAATGCCTTAGAAGTGTCAAAATACGGTGAAAAAAATACCTCCTAAAATAGCATAACAACAACACCAGAGTGGGAAATGCAACTAAGACTCCCCAGTTAGCGTAGGCAAAGAAACCGATGCAAATGCTAACAATATTAAAGCCCAAGCTAATAATACCGCTGTGAAAGCATCTATCAACTCATATGTAGAGAGTCAATTGCCTCTCTACATTCGATTTTGAGTGTTTATGACCAGTGGATTAATGATGTGTAGGAGGGCATGAATGAGTTTGCCAAGAGACTGAGCTTAATGGAAGCCTCTCAAAGTTCACTGGGTAAAAAAAAGGAAATATTGAAGGAAAGTTGGAGTTTTTGGAATGCTACACCAGATGATAGAATATACGAATTAAGGGATATCAGTCATAAATCAGAACAAAAAAGGGGTTCATTCTCATTTGCAACACCTCTGGGTTGGTATTGCCTTTTTGCAAGAAAGCCACCTTCCAATTCAAAACCTGTCAAAAATTTATAAAGAATGGGTAGAGCAAATGTTTCATTCGTAATCTAACTTTAAATTTAGAGGCGTAGCTATACTCTTTCATAAACAGATTCCCTTCCTTGTTTCAAACACTATCTTGGACTCAAATAGTAGATATGGGAAGGTTGTGAGGGATCTATTTCATCTGCGCTTTATATTGGTTATTATTTACGGCCCGAATTTTGATGATGACTATTTCCAAATCTGGATAGTCATCACTTAATTATGTCTGGAGATTACAACCTGGTGATGGATTACACTTAGCATCGCCTCTCTCAGTCAATATCAAAACCACCTAAATCTGTAAAAACAATAAAATCATTCATAGATACACATAACTTTTAGATCCATGAAGATTTAAACATCCCACTAAAAGGCAGTATTCATATTACTCTAATGTACATAAGTCATCTTCCAGGATAGATTTATTTTTAATCGACTGAATGTTATGACAGACTGTAATGTCTCATAGTCATTGTCCTCTTATTTATGCGGGATACCTTAGTCGGGTAGCCGGGGCAGCAGTCTAAGCAGAGACTTCCAGGATACCCTCTCCGCAGACACCTGCTCCAGCTCTGCTGGGCGAAGCACAAGGCGCTCCCTGGCCAGTGAATAGACATAGGCAGTCCCTCCAGCGTGTCCTGGGTCTTCTACTTGGCCTCCTCCCAGTGGGACTTGCCTCAAGCACCTACACAGGGAGTTGTCCAAGGGGCATCCAAAAAAGATGCCCCCTCAAAAAAAAAAACATCTCTACTCCAAGCTTCTCCGAAAATGATCGAGGTCCTCACCCAATCTCTAAGGGAGAGCCCAGCCACCCTGCTGAGAAAGCTCATTTCGGTCGCTTTTATCTGGGGTCTTGTTGTTTTAGTCATGATCCAGATTTAATAGCTAGGTAGTAAAGTAGACTAACTGGTAAACCAAAAGCTTCGCCTTTTCACCCAGCTGCCTCTTCACCACGTATGTCCTGTGCAGCGCCTGCATTGTAGCAGCAGCTGCACTGATCCCTCTACCGATCTCCCGCTTCATTCTCACATCACTCGTGAACAGGACCCTACAATACTTGAACTCCTCCACTTGAGACAGGAACTCTCCCCCAAACTGAAGTAGGCAAGACACATTTTTCCAGGCAAGAACAATCACCTCAGATTTGGAGGTGCTGATTCTCATCCCGGCCACTTCACAGTAAGCTGTGAACCGCGCCAATGCATGCTGTAGGTCTTGGCAGGAGACAGCCAGCAGAACCACATCATCTACAAAAACAGGGAAGAGATCCACTGGTTCCCAAAGACTGCCTCCAACCTTTGGCTGCTCCTGAAAGTCCTGTCCATAAAGGTTATGAACAGGACCGGTGACAGTGGACAGCCCTGTAAGAGTCCAACATGCATCGGGGACAAGTCAGACTTAATGCCAGCAATGCAGACCCAACTCCTGCTCCACTTGTACAGAGACCGGATAGCCCCTAGTCAAGGGCCCCCAACTCCGTACTCCTGAAGCACCCCCGACAGAGCACCATGAGGGACATGGTTGAATGCCTTATCCAGGTCCACAAAACACATGTGGATTGGTTAGACAAACTCCCAAGCACCCTCGAGAACCCTGCAGAGAGTCTAGAGCTGGTCTACTGTTCCACGGCCAGGACGAAAACCACACTGCTCCTCCTAAAGCTGAGATTCGACAATCAGCCGCACTCTCTTCTCCAGGAACCCTGGCATAGACATTCCCGGGGAGGCTAAGGTTGGGATCCCTCTACATTTGAAACAGGGCCAGATCAGAACAATAATTGAGGTGATGAGGTGATGAGTTGCATCAGCCTGGGTGATGAACGAATCCAGCCCCGAGTGCCCCGTCTCTTCTTCCATCAGGGAAGGCGCTGTTTTTTGAATACCCCAAAAATTGATTCTGACTATAAAAGGAGATTGTAGAAAATTTGACATTGATGGAAATTAATAATTCTATTGTTTCATTTCAGAGTGAAAGAGCCCCTGGATTTTTGTAAAAAGTTCAAAGATAGACTTGCTCCTATCTTCTTTCGATTGCACTGGAAAAATAACACCCTACTTCATGCTGTCCACAAAAGTTCTCATTCAGAGATTGTTTTTTTAACTCTACAATCAGGCAGTAAATAGGCATTGAGTCAGTCTACGAAAATGTGTCAAATGATTTGGTTGATTAATGTATTAGAACACAAGTATTAAATTTTACCCTGGGCCAGATTGGTTGTAAAACTTACCTTTCTGATCTCACGTTTGATTTATTTTCTTTTTCTGTTTTTTTTTTATCTATCCATCCATTTTCTCCCGCTTCCCTGTCAGGGTTGCTGTAGGCCAATCCCTACCTCAGGTAGTCTATGGGCAAGAAGCGGTTTACACCCTGGATAGGTTGCCAGTCTATTGCTGCACAACACAAAGACACACAACTATGCACACACACACTCACTCAAAAGGACAATTTAGAGAAGCCAATAAACCTAATAGTCAAGTTTTTGGGTTGTTAGAGGAAGCTGGAGTATCCAGAGAGAACCCATTCATGCACAGGGAGACAATGCAAACTCCATGCAGAAAGACTCCAGGTCGGGAAACGAGAACCCAGAACCTTCTTGCTGCAAGACAACATTACCATCCACTGCATTACCATGCAGCCCCCAACTTTTTTTTTTTGTCTGATATTTAAATATGCGTAATAATGTAAAATTGTTAGGTGTGACACATAACCCTAAACAGGGGAGTTTATTTTTATTTTTTTACCCTTTAGACCACATTTTAGAGTTATCTTAAAAATCATACAAATACATTTTCTCCAGCAGGTGGTGTACTTGTCTTACCCAGACTTTGATCTATTCAGTTTAAAATGAGTTCAACCACTTGGAAAGGTCCATTATTTAACCAATTCTATATATATATATATATATATATATATATATATATATATATATATATATTCATATATAATTTTTTTTTTGACTTAAACTGATTAACACACTGTTCAGGCCTCTTTCCATCCTCCATACCAGGAGTAACAATGTGAGAAGAGAGGCATTGGACATGAAAACCACACATACCCAGGGAAGTGGCGGCCTAGTGGTTAGGGAATTGCGCTTGGAATCCAGAGGTTGGATTGACCCTTAACCCCACACTGCTCCTAGGGAGCCCCACAATGGCAGTTCACTGCTTCCCAAGGGGATGGGTTAAATGCAGGGAGTGAATTTCGTTGCTCTATACTTGTGAGAGTGCAAGGACAATAAAAGCAAGTAAAAAAAATGCCCTCAGACCCAAGGCTAATCTAGAATTACTCCACATGTAGTTGTTTTGGAAAATCATAAGGAAGCTGGAGCACACAGAGAGAACCCAGCCACACACTAGGACAGCATGCAGAAACTGGAAAAGCACTCAGAGAGCGCAGACCTCTGCCAAGTAGCAATGGTTTCCTATACACCTATAGCTGAAACTCACACAATCTGAATCATTACCACATTTAAAATAATTGTTCCTTGGCAAGATACACCCCTCTCTTAAAACATTTCCATAAAATCCATTCCTGAGTTTTCAATTCCTGCTAACTTTTCTTAACAAACCAACAACGTAGTCACTGCTGTCACCCTTTGGTTTGCTGTCACAGACAGACTGACACAAATACAGACAGACAGACAGACAGACAGACAGACAGACAGACAGACAGACAGACAGACAGACAGACAGACAGAAACACAGACAGACAGAAGCACAGACAGACAGAAACACAGACAGACAGAAGCACAGACAGACAGAAACACAGACAGACAGAAACACAGATAGAAAGACAGACAGACAGAAACACAGACAGACAGAAACACAGATAGAAAGACAGACAGACAGAAACACAGACAGAAGCACATACAGAAACAGACAGAAATGTTGTCTTGTTGATTACCTCAGCAAAGGGGGATATCAAACAGAGAGGAGTTGAAACCAGGATATATTAAAGAATAAGCTAAAACTCTTTAGAAATTGAGATTCTCATAATTTTGCATCCCTTTAAATAAACAATATTTTGATTAAAAAAAATAACATTTTGAAAATAAACAGAGATACACCTAAAAGTATGTATCCAATTTTTTTATTTCAAATATTAATAATAAAAAAAAAAAAAACACCAGAATACAAAAGTAAAACATTTACAGAGCAAAGGGGTGGGGTCGTAGTTACAATATTAGCACCTTTAGGTCAATCGGTTGTAGCCACATCTATTTCTGTTAAGAACGCAGCTATCTTTATTAACAACATTTACAAAAACAAACTAACTTACTGTTCACCAAAAAAAAAGCTGCAATGGAATGATTTAATTTAGAAACAACATTAAACATAGGTTTATGAGCGACTCCTGAAAAAAATGCAAATGAGTCATTTAAATAATGAATAGAAAATAATAATAATAATAAAGCTACACACGATGCACTGTACACTTCAGTCTTAAATGCTACATATGAACCAGACAAATAAAGCGTGTCTGTCACTGTCGAACTGTTTTCTTTCCTTTCGCACTCTCCATTCTGTCCTCGGCTCGACTAACATCTGACGAAGCACTTCCTCAGGTTTGTTGCTTTACTCTGTACACACCAGCAGCAGCTATAGCTGCAACCGTTGGCTTTTATTATCCCTCTGATAGTGATCTGATGTTTGAGCACGTCCAGACGAGCGCCGGCCTTTTGTTTTGTTTTACGACCATCTCTGGCGAGTTGCCATGGGACCAAGGCCCCGGGCCCCAAAGTCTAATCCTGTCCACTGTGTCGAAATTCCACAAGCCGGCTGAATCATTCCAGTCTCACCGTCGTACTCCCAAATGTTGTCATAGTCCACTTCCTGGTCATCTGGGTCCGTGGGTTCGAGGTAGGAATGGCGATCTAAAGAGGCGAGAGAAAAGAAAGAGTCGGTTAGATTCCAGTTAACTTTCCCCTGATTGTAAAAACTTGGACAAAGTCCTAGAGCAGGTTTATTGCTGTCTTGTTTCAAACTACAACCTCAGAGTAAATCCTGTAGTGTAACATGCCTAACCTTCATCGTTGTTACTTAGACTAAGGTTCCCTTCTAATAATACATCATAATGCAAGTTGAGGAATGAAATCACATGTCAGCACCTTGTAGAGGTATTTCTTTTCAATAAAATCCTGTCAGTGGGTTCAGTTGTGTGCTGTCAGTCACAAAGATGTATATCATGTCTGAACGTTGATCTTAATCTTGGAACAAGGCACAATTAGGCCCCTTTCCAAGGGTACATTATGCACCCTTAATGCACCTTCACTCCTGTAACCCTCCAACATCTGTCAACTTGCTGAAAGAAGCTACAGCTCCAACAATCCAACCAGAGTACGTCCAACATCAAATAAGCCTTTTAGTGTGTCTAAGTGATGTTTTGTGGTGGTTTTTATGGTGCTGACTTCCATAAATCATGTTTTGTCTGCGGTTAGGCTTAAAGAGGATCAATGATTGTGTCTGTTTTTTTTCGGACCAATCACAGAAAAGAACACCTTTGTCAACGCCTTTTATTGCGCACATGTTGTGCCTTGACCTTTTTCCCCTTTTGTGTTTCTAAGGCTACAGATTTTATGTCTTAGACCAACACAGATTAGTGGAAGGCAAAGATAAAATATTTTTAGAAATATTCTACAAAGCAAAATCTGGAAAGTGTAGCATGATTTTGTTTCTACTGAGCCGCACAGAGTTAACCCTTTAAAATTGGGTTCCTCAATTCCACTCCTTGATGTTTGGTGTCCTGCAAACCTGAATCAAATGGCTAAATTATCTCTTCCGTATGGTCAAGTTCCCCAGAGTCCTGCTATTTGACCTGATTATTTGACTCATGTGTGTTGAAGCAGAAACACATCTAAGTCTACGTTCACACAGCAGCTTGAACTGACCCAAATCCGATTTTTTTTTTGCCATTATGAGACCTGTATCTGATCTTTTCATGACAGTCTGAACAACACAGATCTGATTTTTTCCAATGCGACCCAGGCCACTTGGCTATGTGGTCCTGAATCCGATATGAATCTGATCTTTTCAAATGCGACCTGTCTCTAAAGAGCCAGGTCGCATTCATCAGACCTGTGCAGCATTAATACCCGACAAAGGTCACTATTCTGCATCTTGCTATGCAGAAGCACCAAGAAAAACAAAAACCATGGTGGATGATATCACAGAGAGCAGGAATTATATTTAACCATATTGAAAAGATTGTGTTTTTAAGGTATATAGCCAAATATATGCAACTTGTATGTGATCTCTTGTGTGAACTGCATTCATTCAGTTTAAGTGTCCCACATGTGCAGTAAAGGATGCAATGACGTCACAAGCCAGCATGCTTCATGTTTAGGGAAGTAAACATGGATGCAGTGCTGTAGCACATCTAGCGATCTTTCCAAACCTTAAAACCTCAATCTTTTCAAGATGGTTAAAAAAATTACTGCTCTCCGCATCATCGTCCGCCATGGTGTTTGTTTTTCTTGCCGCTTCTGTGTAGCAAGAAGCAGAATAGTGACCTATGTCAGTTACTAATGGTGTTCAGGTTGAATGAATGACCTGATTCACATGCAGGTCACATTTGAAAAGATCAGATTCACATCAGATTCAGGAGCACATAGCCAAGTGGCCTGGGTCGGATTGGAAAAATTAGGATCTCTGCCATGAAAAGATCAGATCCAGGTCGCTTTTGTGCAAAAAAAATCGGATTTGGGTCACTTCAGGTTGCAGTGTGAACGTAGCCTTACTTTCGCAGTTGCTTCTGCTTCTCATTTTTAGTGGCCGAATTTAATTAATTTAAAAAAAGATCTTTATAATCCTAAAGGGAAGTTAAATGATTAAAACTAATAAAACACATGATGTATGTGCCTCAACTTGCACAAAATTAGTTGAAGTTCTAGAGAGTTTTGCAAACTTTGAGCACAGCTGAACTGTTGAGGTAAAGCAGGAAGAAAGGTTTCATAAGTCCGTACCTGGTGAGTAACCATATGGCATGTGAGAGATGTTCCTCTGAGAGCATGAAGGGAGAGGCATCTGTCAGTAGATGGGGAAACAGAAAAAAAGTAACTCCATGTGAAACTACAACAAACAACCATCATGGTCTTTCATAAATAGCATCTGTTCAAATATCGCTTCAGCAAAAGTATATAAACTAGCTCCACTCGCTCATAGTGCGCTGGCATTTCTCTTTGAAGCCCAGCGTTCCAGAAGCTAGAGTTTCCTGGGAAGTGTGGACCTCTGTGCTCCCTCACCTGCTCTTGAACTTGGCAGGGCATCGGCAGGAGCTTCAGCCTCGACACAGCCTCTGCTCTCTGCTCTTCTTCACTTTGAGGCATTTCCATGTCGAAGGACGTAGCCTTGTTGTTGGCCAGGACCAGGCTTCTTCTGGTGCGTCTGCCCATGGGGGGAGTACGCAGCTGGAAAGAGGAGGGAAGTTGATGTGTGTCCGGTTGGTGGTGCTGGATGGGTTTGTTCCAGCTCTGCTGCTGAAAGAGACACAAACAGCTAAGTAAATGTGCTCATACTCAAATATTGTTAACATCTAACTTTACATTTATCTTGTGAAAGATTTGAGAGAAAAGATTTCCAGCACTGACAATGTGCCTAGGTTTGTTGGTATCATTCTGTTAAGGTGTAAGAAGAAACTAAATATCCAGTGTCGTTGACCCACTTACCACTGGCCTGGCCTCCTCCAGGCTGAAGATCTCTGGGGTGCATGGCTCATCGTAGAGAGGAGACAAAGGCTGACGTGGGGCGCACAGGTCTGAGTGACGTTGGCTGGTGCTTAGTGGGTAGTTCAGGGACGTCTGCGGTGTGCTCCAGCTGTTAGACTGATCCAAACAGAATCAAAGTGTGTTTAAAAAAGCAGAAAGTATCAGGTGGATTTGCCTAATCTGAAAACAGGTTAGGTTACACTTTGTTTATAAATCCTAATGGGTATTAAGACATATGCATCATTAAGTTGATTGATCTTTCAACCCCACTTTGTATTAATCCCATCTGTTAACCCCATCAGATGAACCCTCCCATGAGCTTGCTGGTTTCTATTTCAGTTGCTTTATGGCATGTAAAGCTAGGCAACGGTTGCAAAGGGAGTATTTGATTATCGAGCTTGATGCCAAACTGACTTACCTTTATGAGTGGGGCTTTCTCCAGCCGTTGTGGGCTGGCGTGGTGCAGGGCGTAGTAGGGAGTGCTGTAGACCTGAGACAATGGGGAGCTCTCTGCAGGCTGCAGGTAGGAGCCTTGCTGCGGAGAGGAGTAGCGCAGCGACAGAGGTCTATGGTCACGATCTGGTCTGTTTTGGGAGGACACGCTGTTGGTCCTGCTGCCCAGGCGGGTTGTCTCGACTGAGGATGGGCGACTGGAGCTATACTGTAAGAAACAACAACCACATCCAGCAAGGAGAGTCAGCCATGAAACTTTTCCGACATCAGCAGGAGTGTTATTGCTTTTTTTTTATATATATAACAAAGTCATTTTAGAATGGGAAAAACATCCACTAAATTAATTGGAAGATGGCTGGTTAAGGTCAAAAGTTTAGCAGCACATTACTTCTGGGCACTCTGCCCTCTTTTTAAGATAATTGGATCGGCGGGAGGATCCTCTCCTGGGGGAGTTTGGTCAGAGGATCTGATAATTCAGAGATCTTTAGGACTTCAAATAGAACCAAGAAGTTTACCATCAGACTTTTTCTGCTGATTTAGAACTTCAACAAAAACATCTGAAAGTGATTTTCCAAGTTTGGGCTTTCTGTCAGTATCAGGATTATTTGAGGCTTAACTCTTGTTTGATCATTTATTTGATAAAAGACTTAACTCACTTCACAGAAGTGCATGCCAACTCCATCATCATTATTTCTTATTTGTTTTATTAGTTCAATACTTTGAAATAGTTAATTTAGGATTTTCAATTCATTCTCTAATGAAAGCTTTGTTTTTATCCTTTCTGCTGCTCCCATTTTCAGGTGTCGCCATATTAAGTCATTGAGTTTAGCTCACAAAGTTTTAACATCCCTCCTGACGCAACTAGGATCCAAATCCCATAGGGACTAACAGTAAAAAGGTAATAGGTGTTTAATCTTTTACCAGAAGTAGATTCATAATTTTGAGGAAATCCAGATTAGAAATAGTCTAAAATAATCCAAGCGGTTCATGCAAATGCTTTTATTTGGATCTCAAACTATTTTCAAGTTTGCACTGGGCTATTATAGAGGCTGCGGCAGATGAATATTTACACAGGAAATTAAGGTAAGAGGTGGAACCCATAAACCACCGTGCTGTTTTTTTGCATTGAAGCTGTTCAGCGACAGTAGAAATCTGCTTCGTTCAATTGTTAAATTGTTCTCTCTCACTTAAGCCATTAGCTTTATTCTCTAGGACCAAATTTATCTGAACTTTTGAAGATACAAATACCAAATCATAGCCTAAGTTTAATAACTTCTGGTATTTTGTTCATTTGCGTGGGAAAATGTTGCCTTACACAGAGAGGTTCGGCGTATCCAGGAGACATGGGGTTTTCCTCATGAACTGGTAGCTGAAGGTTTAAGGACCCGCGTCCACTTGGCGGCTGGCTGTATCTGACAGACTCCACTCTCCCCTGGCTGTTTCCACTCCATCTGTCAAACTTTGTCGTTTGCTGGAGACACAAAAATGCAATCTTTTACTTACATATAAATACACAAAACCTGGTTAAAATATTCTGTCTTAATTATCCAAGCAGGGCTGCAGGAAACAAAACCTCCTTATCTTTCTGTCTATAAATATGATGTTCAATTATGAAGAAGCAAACTTAAATTAATCTAACCAGAAAATGAGGTTTCTTTATTTTCAGAATAAGTGATTAATTCAAATTAAATCCAAATGTGAACTGTTGGTGTGGCCGAATTATTTGTCTGAAAATCTCCATGAATAAAACATCTAATCCCACAATCCTACCCTACAGTTACACAGAGTGAGGTTAGTACATGGAAAAGTTTGAGAAATGTTTCATTTGTTATTCCTATGAATTTCTGCATGTTCTGTGACAGCCTCCATGAGGGCATGTCATTTATCGATATTTAAAAAGTCTGACAGGGTAAAAAGGCCTCAGCACACGCTGCCCATAACCCTGTCACCACCCTATAGATCCATGTCTGCCACCAGTAGTTGAGCTGAGGGCAGATCTTTACAATAATGATCAGCTGTGGACAGCCTGACATCCATTTTTCTCTGTGAGAGAAAGCGAACAGCCTCACCTCTGTGTTTGTTGGCGTGTAAATGATGTCATAGACGGGGGGTGGGGGGCTGACAACAGGGACGTCAGCAGCTTTGAACTGCTGGATCCAGTCGTAGAACTCTGTCCTGTCCAAACAGGACACCACTATGGGGTTGATCAGCTTGCCTGTGAAGAGAGGATGGAGGAACAAAGCCCATCATTCGGTCTGCTTGCTCACTGGAATGTGCAACAGCATGAACATTATTCAACAGGCAGGAAAAAAACCCTTCTCATTCATAGAGGGGTTGCACTCTGTGACGCAAGAAGATTCAAGAGGGCCACTTAGCATGAAACAGACAACATAATGCACACTTATTAACATGTCAGAGTGCTACTGATTCAGCGCTCCTACCTTCAATCCTAAAGGTGTTGGGCTTGACGTCCTGACAGGGAGTGGTTACTGTAATCATGTTGAGTGGAAGTTTGCCCTGTAATCAGAGGAACACTTTAACATAACTGCTTTATGCAAACACATACAGAGTAATGGGAACACAATCTACAAGCAGAAGGCCATTAGGACGAGAACAGTACCTTATAGAAGAGCCCATTGCTCTCCTCTGATAAGAAGATTAGGGTCGATGGGTACATCACCAGCAATCTGTCATCCTGTTCCTGTGAAGTAACGATAATAATGAAACACTTGCAGTTTTACTGTAGGTTATCATTTCATCATGCAATAAATTTCAAGTTTCAGTGTTTTTCTAGGTTGTTTTTAGAATATCTGATATTTGTACTGTCTACTTTAGAAATCAGCTGATTTCTTTCCTGTCTGTGTTGCAGGTTTAAAGAGATAGATCCATGTTATATTCAAATGATGCAGCCGGTTATACTGTGCCTACTGTGGAAAACCCTTTAAATGTAATCCTAAGTGTAAAACTTAAAGGTTTAAACAAGATGGACAAAAACCTTGGCAGATGTCTATCTGATGTCTAACAACCCAAAGTCATAATAGTCAAGGTAAACACAGCTTGGTATATTGCTGTGATGACAGCCCAACGGGCCACCAATAGTCTTCCTGTGTTAAAGATGTAGGGCAGAAGATGTAAAAAGTTTTCAGTCAGAGTAACTACCTGAAAATGGATGGAAAGTTATGTAGAAGTCAATAAAACAGTATAGTTTTAAAACGATTTAAAATTGTCGGGATGTTTTTTTGTATTTTTTGCATTGCTTTATATCAGAATGCTACTCTGTCAGGAAATGCTTGATATATGGGAAGATCATCAGTGCTGTTCTGACCTCCAATAACCAGCTGTATAATTGAACACTCAATACAAATATTTCAAAAGATATAAGAATTGACATATGCTATATCTTTTTCATAAACCAGTCAGAATTTTTCCAAGAATCTGTTTTGAGCTAGCCGTTAGCTTCAGCTAATTAGAATAAGAACTAAATAAAACCCTCGTTTGCTACCTATTAGCTTTACCTGATAAGACGAACTAATCTAAATTAATACTACATAATGATCATAGTTAGCTAGCAGCTAGCTTAAGCTAATCAAACCAATTAAAGCTAAGGACCACTATTAGCTAACCATTAGCTTCTGCCTATCTAATTTATGTCAGTTATTAATTAAGAAACTATAAGAGTTACTGTGTGTAGGATATTAACCCTTTAATAATATTTAAAAAGAACCTCTAACAAAATGAAAATACATAAATTATAATATGCTGTGGTGTTTTTTCAAAATTAGAGTTGATAATAGTCCACTTTGGATTTGACAGTTCCAGCTGTAAAACTCCGGTAACTAATCCGCAGGGGCGGACCTAGATGGGGGACCAGGGGTGGCCCTTAGCCAATCATTGGCAACCCCTACCATTTTTTTCCCTCAAATACAGATGGTATAGCAGCAGCAATACTCTCAAGTGGAATATTCAAAACATTTTAATATATTAACAATTAGTTGACAAGAAAAACAATGTGGTAAATTATGCACATTAATATACTCTCATTAAAGATGATCATTCATGCTCTTTTCAGAACTAGATTTTGTGTTATAAGAGGTAAAGAGAAAATTATGTGTCTCTGAAAGTCATATAAGAGTCTTCAGTGAAATCATAGATAAAT